GAAACTCTTCCCACCTGCCAGCCAGCCCGCCTTACTATTCTCCCCACAAAATTAACTGAACTAGTTTGCCCTGAATCCTTTTGAGATCAGTTTGCCTATAGTCCCTTAATTGATCTCTTTGTAAGGATTTTGGGTTTGGTAAGGTAGGATCTACCTCTACCAGGATCCATAAACCAGGCTTCAGTCCACCTGACCTTGCAGGGCAGTACTTCTCCCTTTTGTATTTATCTACAGTGGATGCAGATTACCCCAAAGAGGCTATCTCCCCTTGCTTCACCTTACTTTCATCTGTACCTGTTCTCCATTGCTCACTCCCAGTCGAGACAAATGTAGCTGCCATTTATTTTCTAGGCTGGTAATTTGTATTATCTCAGATAATCTTCAGATGAAACTACACGTTTCAAACAACTTAGATAAAATATGTATGAAGGAGAAATGATCTGTTTTATGTGAGCTAAATGTATTTGATCTGTAGTGTCTGAAGCTGTAGGTGGATAAATTACATCATCATCTTCAAAAGTGGGAGTAAAGGAGTTGGGCTTCAAAAACGGTTTCCATTTGGTTCTGCCACCTCATCTCTTCCTCAGAGTCTGTTTTGACATTCTTTGGAGCTGAAATAAGCACCTCTCAAAAGGCAAATTCCTGGGTATATTTGAGCTAAATTGCATCAGTCATTTTGGGACTGTGGGACAGTGGAAGAAAAATTCAGGTTCCCATTCAAAATGGGCTGGAATCATAGACTTTCCAGTTGGTTATGATCTTCCATGATGCAAAGACTTAATCAGTCAAATTGTAGTAGGAATATTTTTGCATGATTTCATGTTAGGGAGACTTAAAGATTTCATTGGAAGATGTATTATCGAGCAGAATGTTCTTTGGCATATATGTGTATATATGTACATATATATTTTATTAACATTATATATTGATAAATATTATATCTTTACTAATATCTATTATATATAACATGTGTTAGATATATGTTTTAAACAGAATTCCTTTCCCATGAATTCTTATCAAAACAGAACATCTCTAAAGTAGTTGAAAACTCAGAGTTAAATTCCTTTGCATCCACCGGGTGCCAATAGTTTCACAGGATCCAGTCCTATGTTAGCAGGATATTTAATTAGTGAGATAAATGGAGAAATATGGTTTTATCAGTATTGATCAGCTGTGGAGGATTAAAAAAATAGCAATAAGAGCCGTGATCATACCTAGTCTCTGATTCTTCCTCTACCACCAGCACCACTCCCTTCTTCCTCATCCTAATCATGTGTCACGATTTGTCACTTTCTTACTTTATGCTGACTTTTCATGCTTTCTTACTATGACTTTATGCTACCCTGGGATATTTCATGATTTTGGACATAAGTCAGTATGATCAAGTTTGAGACTCTGTTTAAATTTATAGTTTCTTCCAGATTTTAACAGTCCTTAAAGAGTTGGATTATTTTCACTTAGAAGTGCTACAGTGAAATGAAACCAGCCTTTCCTTGTGTGGTTAGAATTTAGAAGACTGTTCTCTTCCCTGTCCAGTAGAGGCCTGACATCATTATCCCATGCAACGGAGCCCATGAAATATACATGTGTAGTAACACTGCCATCCTTCATTCTTCAACTTGTATAACGCACTAATAGGAGTTATTGAATTTAATAAATGACTATATTTAGATATGCATCTTTCTATTTAGGTTTATGTTTAAAAAATTAACCGTTGATGGGGTCCTTGTAAATCATTTTTAAGAGCTTCATCACTAGATGATAAAATTACCGGTTAAGAGGCCAACTCAGGCAGATATACCTCTCCTGGCAAGTCTGATCTAACACATCCAATATGCCTTTCACCACTGTCTGAATTTTAACAGGCCACAACTCCATTGGGCCAGAAAGAAGATCAGAGTGAGGGCTCTTATAGTCCTGCACTTCTCTGGTATCTGCACCGGACTCTGGGGTCCATGCAGCAGAACACACTTGGATACAGTGCAGCATTTGGGTGGTATTGGGGGCAGGTACACTACCTCCCATGGTGGGAACTGTAACTGTTAAAAAACTGATAGAACTGTCCACAGCACAGAAAGTTGTGGGTCTGTTCTGGGGTAACATAAAATATACTTTCTATTTTTTATTTAGATAGAAAATAAGAAAGGGAAACCTGTGCTGGTGCCCCTGGGTCTTAGGCCCTGGAGAAATGACCAGCCCTGATATTGATAGTGTTGGTTCAGGGCCACAGACAGCTGCCTTTATGTCCTCTGAGCATCCTGATTGTTCAGTGGGACTCAGGGATGAGCACGTTCTCAGGAGGTGAAGCTCTAGAAGAGGCCTTCTTTCTCTTTGGCTTTTTCCACATGGGTTTGGATGCTACCTCTCCGGACATTCTTCCAGAGGCAAAGTGGATTGATCCATACAGCCCAGCTGCTTGGACTTGCCATGTGTGCAGGCCAGTCAGACCTGGCTCGTACAGTGTGAAAGGGTGATCCGTGGGCTCCCACATCTCATACTCGGACCTTGCTGCAGCAGTGCCCGCTAAGAAGCCCCCTCCCCTGTGATCATGGACCATCCCCCAAATGGGCTCTGGTGCCTGGAGAGCTTGGTCATGATCTTGGCCCCTGATATGGGGTTTCTCTCTCAACTGTAGCTAAAGCAGTTACACCCAAGGTTTTATCAGCTCCTGGCTCATTGGTTTTGGCTTTGCAACCCACTTTCCTAAGGCAGGGCAAAAGCAGTCAGATACAGGGAATCATTTTCCTTCTCTGCTTGGCCTTGCTGGGCAAGAGACTATTTGAAGGTCTCATTTTGCATAATGAGTTTTGACTCAGGTGTGCTTTCACATTTTGGCAGCAATTAGGCAGTGTTATTACATTGGCAATGGGTTTTAAATATTCTAATGCAGATATCTGCTTTTAGATGCTTTATATTTAAAACTATGATTTTCCCCCAGAAATATGTAAAAATGGCAATTATAGTTAACCCGGAAAAGTGACAAAGTCCAGAAGAATACTTCACATTCCATCCAAGTTATAAAGTGTATTGAAATCACGAAGGAATATTCAATTCTTGAGACTTGCTCAACCCTTACTTTGACATCAAAGAGAATGTGACATGTGAAATTAAAGCAAAGGAACTTGTCTTTGGCTCCAGTCCTTCCCTGTCAGACACACATCCTAAGCTTCCAAGGACTACCATGTATTAGAACAGCATGTTCAAGTAGAAAATATTTCACAAGATTTCACATTGCCATTGGACATGACGCTGTCCTTTGTATGTGCAGAGGGTATTGTTGAACCACAGCTGAAAGGATGGACGTTTCGTTATTTTTTCTCCAGTGGCGAGGATGGGTTTGTCCTGGGTTGTCTCTTCTCTTGCCCTTGTGAACAGCAGGCTGTGTTGGTAACATGCTTGTGTCTAGGGCTAAGAGTACATTGGCCATCCAACTGAGAAATTGGGCGCTAAATTTCCCACCTACCACCCAGCCCCAACTTAGAATCATTTAACACTGGCTGCCGAGTTTCAAACCACTTAGTTTGGATTAGGATTGTATTTAAAATAATAAATGGAGAGAGATGTGGCAGAGGGATTCTTTTAAACTTTCTTTGTGATATTTCATGGTGTAGACGTTGGAGACTTCCTAACTAGATGGGTGAGAAGGTCAGTTATGCCGTAAAATTAAAGCCAGAACCAAGTGGGCCAGTTCTTGGAGTTAAAAATAGTTTAATGCTGAATCTCCAGGATCCAGAGGAAATTGTTCATGTTTATTCATGCTCTGGAAAATGGAATCACTGCCCAAGAACCAATATGTTCTGATTTTACTCTAAATCTGGTTTCCTAAAACCTATTTAAGGGCTTAGGTGAACTCAACAAGGATCTAATAAAGCCAGGTAATTGAACAACACAGAGGCAAATAAAATTTACAGGAGATCTCGTCACAGATCAACTGCAGCAAGAGACAGCATGGACAATAATTTAAACTAATTGTGAACTGTGATGTAAATTAACTTCTCTGGAAGAGAAATTGAGGCTTCATTTCAGACAGCTTTCTGAAACTGTATGCAGCATACAGGGTACCTGCCAAAAACACATACAGCAAATAATTTGGGTTTATTCTGGAGGAAATTAACTGAAAAGGGGCACATGTCCTAAAAATGGTGTGGGGATGTTGTACATGGGTGAAGCCTTTTCAACCTTGCAAACTGTGTAGTTTAGCTGACAGAGTAGGTGTGCCCAGGAACAGTGAGGTGGATGAATGCTGAGGGGGAGGATAGAGAGAGTGGACAGTGGCTGTTTGGTAGGAAAATATTATTGGAAGTGGGGAAGAGGTTAATGTAACTATGAAGAAGTGAGTGACCTAGACCCTTGCAATTTCAAGTCAATCAAGTGTCTAGCCTCGGAGCATAAATTGATGCTAGCTACATGTAAGAAAGACACGGTTATGAATCGGCCAGATTGGCCAGCCTTTGTTTTATCTTTACACATCCAGGACAAATGGTATTAAGCTAAATGTATGCCTGTGGTTAATGCTAATATTTGAATAGCCCCCTGCTTTTAGGTTTTGTGAGCGTTGGAAAACTGGAACTGTGCACCACAAGTTACACGTCTCCATGTCAAAGAAACGTTGACAGTTGAATTATCAGCTGTTGCAAACAGAGGCTTCATCATAAGTGACAGCAACAAGGCATCACCTGTGGTATAATTGATAGCAAATACACCTTGCACTTAGACGGTGTCTTGGTTTATCTGTCAAACCAGGAAGAGCAGTGCTGTTTTCATATTAGGCTGAAATGTTTTTACTATTTCCAGTGTTTAATACAGTTTGAAAGACAAGAATTTGAAAAGTAAATTGATATTTTTGATTGCACGTTAATGCCTGTTTGGGGATTCCCGATTTCTAAGCCATTAGTGTTTTCCTTTGTGTTTTGGGAGGTGGGATAAAGGCAGGTTTTTATGCAGTTATGTGAGAAGCTTCCTGAAATCTGACCTTCATTTTCTATTTTTTCCTTATATAGGATGATTATTTCAGAAACTGGAATCCCAACAAGCCCTTTGACCAAGGTAAAGTTTGCAATATTTCTTGCTGTATATTCCATGGGAAATGAAGTCTTATTTTTCCTTCCTTGCGTGCTGAGTTACTGTTCCCACAAAGGCCAGCTAGCTGTCTTATTTTATTGACTGTAGGGACTGAATTGACTGGGGTGATAGAAATTGTTTTATCAAATTGGTTGTTTGTCTAAGATTATGTCTAAGACAGATTAAAAAAAATTTTATTGAATTGACCAGTACAATCATTAATTTTTTTTTTTTTTTTTTTTTAAACGCAAAGCAAAACAAAAAAACAAAGTAAAATGGTTATCAGACTAACCTGGTGAATTGTGGGCCTGAATCCAGTGATTTCATTCATGGAACAGACTGTGCCTGGAGATGCTGCCCAATTCATGTGAGCCATAAAAATGAAACTTTCTTTCTAGAAACGGGTTAATCTGAGGAGGCTTTCGAGGGCACTGATATTTCATTTGTTAAATGACTTCTTCATGGTTTCTAAACAGAAGCTTGTTTCAGAGTTAGCTCACTGACTGCTTGGGTTCAAGCCTGGTCCTCAGAGGGCTCTTTCCACTCACACCAGTAGGCATAAAGCGAGTCTCCTGATGGCCAGTGTAAATCACCACTAGTGTCCTCCTGTGAGTTATTTAAGACACAGTGAGGACCTGCCGTGAATCACACCCCTGTTCCTATTGTTCCATGTATGGCTGCTGCTGGCTCAGATCCTGATGCTGAAAGTGATGGTAGATTGTACTTCTAGTACATATATGCAATTAACGCTGCAACTCAGAGGAAAAATATTGCCTACCAGGTCTCAAAGGTTCATACTTCTGCGAATGATCTTCACTTCTGTAGCTGAAGTATTTGATGTGATCATGATGGTCAGTTTGACTCAAGGAAATTAAGGAAGGCATTGACATGTAGCGTGGTAGAAGGTGCCCCTTTATGCCCTCTCTTTTGTCACTTTGATGGCTCCCTCTCTTTCTGGACTCTGGTTTTCTTATATGCAACATTGGTATTAAAATTTCCATGTATGCATTTAGCTTATGCCTTCAAGTAGTACACATTTCATTCATATATGCATTCATTCATTCTCAAACATTTCTTGAGCATCCACTGTGCACAAGCACCAAGCCACGTACTGGGGAAAAATCGGAAAAAGCTGTGGTGCCAGCCAGAGGAGCTCAGAGTACTGAGAGAGATGACTCAGTCAACAGCTGCAGTGGGATGTGTTAATGGCTGTGGTGCAGGTGTGTACAGGGGAGCATTGAGTCTGTAGATGGGGGACTCAGTGTGTGTGCATGTGTGTGGGGGGTCGGGTGCCAGGACAGGCTTTCCTTGGGAGGATCTGTCTAGGCTATACATATCTCAGCAGCCTCCCAGGGCCTCACTCCTTTAGCGATGACTGAGTCATCATCATAAATCACATTAAAGCATATGAAGGGATTAGTAATTTAGTTTTAAAATTTTCCATCAGAAACGGTCAAAATTTCTAAAAATTTCTTTTGAAAGGATATAACTTCACTTCTGAAGAACACTCAGATATGGAGCAACACCTTCTGTGTGCCTGATGAAGGAGCCCTACTGCAAACATGCTCCCGGGCTTTTGCTCACAGAGGTGCCTCAACTGGTGGTGCTAGTGAACTGAGTTTTTCTAGCCCAGAATCAGAAATAGGTTCTTGTCCTATAAGGATCAAATGTTGCCTAAATAACTGCCAAATTTACTCTTCCCCAAGGCTTGCAAACAAATGCTAAAACTCTACCAAGGGAAGACATTTTTATTTTCACTAACACATGTTGGAAAAGGTAATACATGAAGTGGGTATCATTTGCCACTTGGGGATATAAATGATAGCTTCCCTTGACATGGGGCTTAATGTGGCAACTTTGAGCACCAAAAAGAACATGGTATTTAAATCTGCTTAACCAAAAAGTCCAAACAGATTTTTCTCTCCTAGGAATGTTGGCAGCTATATCCAGCAGAGTCCTTCCTCTGCTCCCTTTCTGGCTCTGCAGGCATGAAAACTGGATCTGCTTAAATAAATCCTCCCAGAGAAGCTCAGGACTTTATGGGGTATAATTGAGGACCTCAGCTGAGAAGCCCCACTTTGTACCACAGGTGTAGCTGCTGTTGGCTATTTATATACAGAGCCACCGGGAGAGCAGGCAGAGCTGAGAATAGCCTTCACTTAAAATATCAGCCCCAGCAGATGTCATCAATTGCGTTGTGTGCCGCTCAATAAAGATGGGAGGTTACTATATCAGCACTGACACCACTTGGTGAAATATAAACCACAGGCATGGAAGATGTAGAGCAGTTCATCTTCCAGAACATAGGAGAATTGCTGAACTCCAGTGGAAGTTGTCAGCTACAGAGAGAAGTCATTTCCCGTCCTAAGCTGAAAAAGAATCAAACATGGTTAAGGTGGTTTTGTGGTTGGGAAAACTTTCAGTTTGTAGAAATGGAACTTGTTGAAAAGCATTTCAGAGTTTCACGTGACAAAGATGGGCTGGGATGGAGGTAGGTGCGGAGTGGGCTTGAAATCTAAGGGGAGAAGAGGGGAAGGAAGGCCGTACATGGAGAATTCTGGTAGAGTGTAGCCAGAAAGGTGGATTTGAGGCAGGTTGTGAAGGACATTCCGTACCAATCTATGAAGTTTGCACTTCATTCTCATGGCAATGGGGAGCCATAGAAAGTTTTTGAGCAGAGGAGTGATATGATGAGGGCAGTATTTTAGAGGACTTAAGTTTGGTGACTCAGCGGCTGTGATTAGGAACCCAAGACATACCTGCTAAATGATGTCCCTCCAATAGGACTCGGGGGTAACTTCTTCATTGCATCATTCATAGTCTTGGATCCCTGGGATTTGGCTCCCACAGGTGGTCAGAGTTACCATTCAGCTCTGTAGCTTGATCTCTGAAATGCCCATGTGGCTCCTGATTGCCTTCAGTGTTGGTGTGAATAGTTAGGAGACTCATAGTATTCAAGAAATAGTTACTTGTAATTGCTCTCCTTGCATAGGGATATTTACTGAACTTTGAACAACAGGGCTTCATAGAGCGAGCACTTATCATCATGTAATTGACTCCAAGGCAGTTAGAAGAAAAGTGCCTCACCTGGCAGTCTCCTTCTACGAGCCTGAAAATGCCTTTATCTTGTTATCTGTAAGCAAATCACTAATGCTTCTGTGCAGTATAATAGCCATCAACTTCAGGCTTTTCTAAGAAGAATTCATTCTGAGATTTGGGTAAAGTAGTATATTCTTTTTGATTGTAATGCTTTAATGCCAAATCTCCCTTCAGAATTGAAGGGAACAATTATAAACTCAGGTGAGAAATTTCCTTTGTGAAGTCCACAAAGGAAGACGCCCCACAGAGAGAGTTGGGCAGGCTGCGCAGTTTGAGAGGGCGACGGGCAGATGCTAGTGGCTCGCTGTCTTGTGTGGGCGGGAGGAGAGGAGGCCCTTGGGTGGATCTCTGTGCGTGGCTGGCTGAGGCTGCAGGGCTCCGGAGTGGTTTCAGAGTGCTGGGCGGAACTGCCGCTTTGCCCTTTAGGCACCTTCCCTCAACTGGCCCCTGGCATACCTGGGAGCACAGAGTGGATGTTGAGCAGACATGAGGTTAATGCTTCTGAAAGTGGCATCTGGTCCAGCAAGATGCTTCCCCAAGATCAGTTCCTGGTCAAATAACTTAGGGACACACATATATTCCATTGTTCATCTCTTGGAGATTCACAATGCTCATTAGCAACTTAAAAGGTCTGAGAAGTTTTTTAGTAAAGAAGCCCATTTAACCTACCATTTTCCAAATTTGCCTTTGACTACATGTTTTTATTTGATTTTTTCACTCCACGCCCATCAGGTACCCAGAGCAAGTGTGTTCTGTGGGATACACTTTGGTAAGTGCAGTGTGGGGTCTTGGGGTTTGGAGTCAGATTTTCCAAGTTTAGAACTGGAATCTGCCTGTTACTAGCTGTGTGATTCTGGGCAAGTTGCTGAACTTCTCTGATTCTAAGGCTTTCCATTTGCAAATGGCCACAGTAAAAGCACTGAGAGGATTAAATGAGTGAATATGTCTGGCATATAGTAAGTGCTCAATAAGTGTTGTGTTAGTAAGTAATCAATCTTTTTCACTCTCTCCTCTTCCTATGTAGCTGCTACTCCCTGTGGCTTCCCTCCCTTCCCACTCAGACTTTCTTTCTGTCTTTGTTTATTCCCTTCTTCAGAGCTGTGATGCTCTGAAGCTCTCGGGGCTAAATTGGATGTGGTCTCTCTTACACGAGGTGGGTCATTGCAGTGGTGCACCCCAGATCCTCATTATGGCGGCTGAAGAAGTTCAGGTTCTCAATGTGTTTGTTCATCCATTCATTCCTTAAACAGTTACCAAATGCTTGACGTTTAAACCCACTGTGCTGGGTAATAGCGACCACAGTAAGGAAAGCCTCTCTGTGGGACACTCCCCGTGATCCATCCTGGTGATGGATCATAAGCCATCCACCCAAGATCTTACACAGACAGAGAGAGTGTGTAAGTACCAGGGGTGATGGGGGCAGGAGCAAGAGTAAGTACTGGTGGGGGAGGGGAAGCGAGGGGGGTGGTCCGGGAAACTGGGAAATCTAGAAGACATCAAGTGTTCCTACAAGTGACATAGGTCAATTTTAGTTGAGGTGACATTTTTTGCTAGAACTTAGCCTCACTTGGTCTGTGCTGTGTGTGGATCAGCGCACCACCAAACTTTGCTGATAGCGATCACCCTCATGCCATAATAAAGGTACTGTCCCACAGATTCTCTTTTCCCTTGGAGTGGGATGCTGATGAGGAAGGTTTTCCAAAGGGCCTGGAGGAGAAAGAAAGGGATAATTTATTGAACCACAATACTGTGGTAAAAAAAAAAAAAAGAAAGGTATTGCTTTGGGAATTCACAGAATAGGGGATGAACAAGAAACAAAGTGAATTCTAACAAGTTGTTTCATAGCTTCTGAACCAGTCCTTTTTGTAAAAGAAAATTGAAGCTTA